CCTCCCCTCACTGCCCGGGCCTGCCCCCCGCTGGGGCCAGGGCCCCTCCCGGCTGCTCACTGCTGTCCCACCGCCCACAGCCCCCTCTGGCCTGGCCACTGCCCCCCACCACTGCCCCTCTTCCACATGCTGCCCCGTCGGGTGCGGTTTCTGGCCGGCCGTAGCCACAGCCACCGTGACCCTCACTTCCCCCGTCCCGAGGCGGTGCGAAGCTGGGGCCTACCTGAACGTGTCATCAGAAGCCCAGGGGGTGGGGCAGCTGCTCCCTGGACCAAAGAGAACATGTGTCAGTCTGTCCGTCCGGCTCACACTCATCCTGCACGCAGCCCGAGAAGCAGGACGCTAACCCAAGTGTGATACGGGGCGCCGGGGTCGGGCCACCTACCGGGGACACAGGCCCAGACTCCTTATCTCCCTGGGACCTCAGCTGGCCCACCAGCCCCGACACCCGCTTGCCCTGTTCTGGGGAGAGGGGTTGGTGACTGCGGCCCCCAGGCCGAGTCCAGGCCGCCTGTTGTGATAAACACAGTCTTGCTTACGGGCTCTGCTCGGGGCTGTGCCGCAGGGCGTGAGGCCACCAGACGCGCAGGGGCTGGGACCCGTACCCCCCAGACGCCACCTGCCGGCTGCCAGCAGCGGCCACCTGTTGGGGGGGGCCACAGAGGCCACAGGAGATGAGCCAGATCCCCCAGAACAGCTGAGGGGCCTCTTGGTGGCGCCTCATTCGACATGCGGGCCCGGGGGAGGAAGGGGCTTTGGTGGCCTCGGAGCTGAGGACAGACTCTGACCGGGAGGGAGGGACAGTGGCCCACGACGGCACATCCATTGCCACCTGGGCTTCAATCGCCGGAAGCCCTCAAGGAACAAGCCCCCGCCAGGGCCAAGGGCAAGGGACCGAAAAGGGTCCAGCATCGCCAGCGGTCTGGGGATCACAGCCCGACGGTGGGGCCTGGTGGGCAGCTGCGGATGGGAATGTGGATGCGGAGGCCCGAAATGCTGCTCCCGGGGACACAGCTGGGTGCCACAGACTCGAGACACGGCACCCCAACCCTGGTCCTGGGCCAGGCTCGAGGACCCCTGAGCACGCTGAGCTGGTCTAACCCATCACCTGGTGTTAAAGAGCCCTTGTGCGGGCCTGGAGCTTGGGCAGGGCGCGTCTGACCTCCAGCACTGCGACGGGAGGCCAGCTGCCCCCCAGGAGTCCCCACACACCGCCCTCCGACGTAGGAGGCCGGCCGTCTGCCCACAGGAGGCCAGGATCAGTCGCTAAGTGCCGACAGCCCCACCCGCGTCCAGGGGCCAGACCCGCAGGTACAGGCTCAAACCCAGCCCCGGGCATGGGCGGGACGCGACGAGCAACGTGGAAAATGAACAAACGACGACCTACCTCCCCCTCCTTGGGGGCCAGTACCCCTCACCCCCGGGTGCACACGGCCCCAGAGAGACCAGGAGAAAGGGCTCCTGGTCCGCATCTGCCCTCTCTGGTTGCGCCCAGCCCCACCGGGTAAGGCCCCTGTGCCCCCACACACAGGACCACCCCGGGGTGCGGGGCGGCTGACGCACACGGCTGTGGAGGGCCGGGCCCTGCTCCCCGCCACTGCTTCACCCCATCACACAAGATGCCTAAGCCGCCACCAGCCCAGGCCACGCCCCCGGCCAAAGCCCCACCCCTGGGCGACCTGGCTCAGCCTGCCTCTCCTGCCTCGCCTCCCAAACGGATTTCCCCTGAGGTCCCAGCGGTCTCAGTCGAGGAGACGAGGAGACGATGAGACGATGAGACGGGAGTCCGGAGCTAGGATGCCCGCAAGGGGCAGGTGTGGTGGGGAGGGGCCGAATGTCTCCACCACTGGGGCCTCTGCCTGCTCTGGGCGGAGGGACGCCTGTCCAGCCTGGCCATCGGGGGCAGCAGGCCCGAGCCCGGACGACGAGGGGCCCTGGCAGGAACAGACGCCAGTCACAGCCTTATTTGTCCTGCAGCAAGTCTGGCCGGGGCGCCTCGGGGGCGGGGGGGACGATGGGGTGTCTGGTGACAGCTCCCCTTAACAGGCACCTACTGCACACTTGTGTCTGTCACCTCGTTGGACCCTCTCCGTGTGCCCAGGGGAGGAGGGACTGTTGTCCCCATCCATGGAGGAGGAAACTGAGGCTCAGAAAGGTGTAGTCACTGGCCTGAGGCGGCCCAGCTGGCGGGGCGGGGTGCCGCTCAGCCCCCAAAGCCTGGCCTTCCTCGCACTGTGGTGCGGCGGGAACCCCGGCCAGAACTCCCAGCTCGGCCTCCACGGGGACCTGGGTCCTCCCAGCTCCCCTCGCGGAGCTGCCCCCACCCCCCGCCAACAGGGTGGTGAGCAAGGGCGGAGATGGGGGTGCCAGGGCAGGGCGTGCAGGCGTGAGATGGGGTCCCTGGAGCTCTGCCACCAAAGGGGGGAGACGGCAGGGGGTGGGGGCCCCAGGCTCAGAGCCAGGACTCACTAGCCCAGAAAGCCCTCACTTGGACACAGGGAGCCACTGCCTGAGCCCGTGTGACCACCGAGGCCCTCACTGTGGTCGCGAGTGGACAGAGGAGCATGCACACGCATCACACAGACCACACCCGTGTGCATTACACATCGCACACAAACATCACACCACACACGACGCATGCGTGCGCGTGAACACACACGTGCACACGCTCCACACCAGACGTGCAAACGCCATGCACACACACGCATGCAAATGTACGCAGCACACTTACCACACATGCACACGCGCTGCACGTGCACGACACACACACGTGCAAATGCATGCACACACACACACACACACACACACGGCTGTCGGGAGCTGCTTTTCCTTTTTCGGGTCTCTGGTGCGTTCAGACTTGAGGCCACTACAAGGCGAGGCCTCATGCTGCTCCCTGTGACCCACAGGCCCCCAGATCTCAGAGACAGGGGCCCCGCCGGGAGGGCCGGGGCGCGAGGTGGAGAGGACGGGCAGACGGAAAAGAACGAGACCGTAAGAAAAGAAAATTTTATTTCCAGTCTAAGGATGTATTACAAACAGCGTCAGACTTCAAAAATGTAAGAGCGACCAACGTCTTCAGCCGACGGTGAAGGTACAAAGCCACGTATTTACAGGTGAGCTGTTTGCCCCCCGATGGGGGTGACTCCGGACAGCGCGGGACGGTGCCAACCGGAGCCCGGAGCCGCACAGGCCCCGCCTCTCGCAGGTGCACGAAGCCGCAGAGCGATGGACAAACCAGGCAACGCAGCCGCACCCCATGCAGGCGAGCAGACAGACGCGGAGGGCGCCCACGTGCCCTCCGGATGCCAAGGGACGGGCCCCGGAGGCCCGAGCTCCAGCCTCGAACTCAGCCAGCGGGTGGCGGGGGAGGACGGTGCAGCTTCTAGAGCTTCCACAGGGGCCCCCTGGCAAGCTGGCCCTGCCGGGCTAGCTGGTGGAAGGGACATCACCACCCTGCCCCCCGGCCCAGCCCTCACCCCGGAGGCTGCGGCTTCAGGGAAAGGCTGGCGGGTGAGCCGTGGACACCCAGACCCTACAAGCCCCTGTACCTCCTGAGCCTCAGTTTCCTCCCCTGGTGGACGGGCCAGCAGTGGTGCTGCCTTGCAGAGGAGGGGCGGGGCGGGGCAGATCGGTAAAGCTCTCGTACGCACGACGTGCCGTGCTCCTGGCCCGGCAACCGGGGGTCTGCGGCGGCTGCAGGGGGACCTAACTTTTGTCGGGCGGGATGACTGTGCACTGGAGGGGACGGACCTGAGGTGTGAGAGTGGCCGTCCAGCAGGCAGGCAGTGGCACAGGCCAGCGAGGGGCGCCCCCAGCCTTGCTCACCCCGAGGGCACGGCTTGAGCCACCTAGGACACAGCACCCTCCTGTGCCCCCAGCACCTGATCCTCGGGCTCTGGGACTCTGCCAGCCCCCGGCCTGCCCCGCTTTTCCAGAACGTACTTCCGGCCGCATCCCGGTCAGTCCCGTGGGCCCCCCCTGCAGGCCTCACGCCCAGAGAGGAGGAGGCTCTGGGGTTGCCGCCGCTGTGCCGTCCCCACTGCGCCACACAGCGGCTGGCTCCGCCAGCAGCACAAAGGCGCCCCCTCCCCTCCTGTCGGGAGAGACGAACCAGCCCCCCGCAGCAGCGGGCCTGGGCCACGGCTCTCAGGGAGGGGGGTTTACCTTGAGTCCTCCACAGACGGGACAAGTGGAAAAGAAAGCCGGAGGAAGCCCCGCGTGGGGACTGCCTGCTTCCCAGGCCCCGCCGGGGGCCTCGCTGCCCGGGGCCTCCGCCGCCTGTCCCCGCCGCCTCGTGCCCAGCCAGCCGGAGGGACACCCCGCGGACGCCTGGCCACCCAAGTCCCCGGCCCCTCCGTCGTCGGGGCTGCCTTGTGCGGTGGCGGTCTGGTCCCTGGCGTCCCGGCACAGGCTGCGTGGCGTGTCATAATGTGGCCGCAGGGCAGCGGGCACTTGGTACTCGGCCGTCCCCGGCGGGCAGGCGCACAGGCTGGGGTCGGGCACCCCGGCCGCGGGCGGCAGGCTGAGCGAGGACCCGAACTCGTCGCCCGCGCGCCACACGTCCAGGCTGCTGCCCGCGCAGGACGAGAAGCTGCCCGAGTAGGAGGAGTGGCTGCCCGTGGCGATGCCGCTGTCCGACGAGCTCTGGCGGCCGACCTCCTGCAGCTGCCGCGGCCGCAGGGGCTTGGGTGGCGGCCTCGAGGCGCCCGGCGCGGCCTCCCCGGGGGCCTGGGTGGCCGCCGGCCCCGGGCCCTCCTGCGACGTGCCGGCCGAGGACGAGGACTGCTCGGGCCACGCCGTGAGCCGGCTGCCGGCACTGACGTCCGAGTGGCTGGCCTCCGAGGACGAGCTGGACAGGCTGCGGTCGTCCCCTGAGACAGAGGGCAGGGGCGGGGCTGTCGAGGCTGCTCCGGGGCTCGGGCAGACTCAGGGGGCGGGGGCTGGGGGCGACGGCAGGCAGCACCCCCTCTCCGGGCTCCCCCTCTGCCCGGAGGCTCACGCGGGTCAGGCCGCTGCCCGACAACAGGCCCCTCACCTCCTCCAGCCCCCTCTACAACCTGTGCCCTCCTCCCGCCCCCTTGGCCACCACCCTCCGGGAACCGACACGAGCCGCCGTAAGATCGCTGCTCGGTACAGACTGAGACTGCCTCCGGGGGCAGGCCTGGACGGGAAGGGGAGGCCCCGGTCCTCCCGGTGCCCGGCATGGGACTGGCAGCAGTCAGAGAGGACAGACGGGCTCCCCACCCCCACCCCCAGGCAGGCCCCTGGCTGGCCGCCAGCCCCTTCTGTCTGTTTTTCCAAAAACCAAGAGTCGCCAGGAGCTGAGAAGGGGCCCTTCTGTCTCAGCACGAATGGTAAAGCTGAGGCAGGAGAGGCCACGGCCTCGTCAGGCCACGTGGCTGGTGGCCGGCAGGGATTCAGACCCAGCTCTCACCGGCTCTCAGGCAGCACCACGCCTCTGCTCAGGGCCCAGGCTGGCAAGTGGTGTGTGTGGCATCACAAGCAAGGAACAAATGAGTGAGCACAGCAGAAGGAATGAATGAACGAATGAGCACAGGGGAGGAACAAACAGGAGCCCAGAGGTCGACCCCTTCCCCGCGGCAGGTGCGGCCCACCTACCTCCGCTCCCCGGCCGGACCACATGGGAGAGGAGGCTGAGCCGCTTCTCCAGCTTCAGGGCCTCCAGGGCCTCCTGGGCCACTCGCTCCTCCGCGGTGGGGGTCCCCCCAGGGCTCGGGTCTGCGGCAGAGGGAGAGTCAGCAGAGACGCGGCTTCAGCCCCATCCCCACGGGACCCCCAGCCGCAGGCCGCATGCCGTCCAGGACATCACGGGGGGACCAGCACCGCCGGGGCCACGCTTGTGCTGATTCTGCCCCAAGGCCACAGCAGGGCCACAGGTGACCCCCAGGAGTCCCAGCTTCTCCCTACACCTACTCGCCAGCTACTGAACACCAGTCTCAGGGCACCCGACCTGCCTCCTCCAGGCCCCCGGCCACCAGCCTGTGTCCCGTGCCCGGAACGGGCAGGCCCCTACAGGGGGCATGGGTCCTGGCGACGCCCGCGTGTCCTCCTGACCACTTCCTGTCTGGCAGCCATTGGGGCAGCAAGACACTGGCATCAGACGGGCTCCCCGAGCCCCTCGTTCACATCTGCAAAGTGGGACCGGGCCACGAACGCGCAGGGTATACTCAGGGTGGGGTGGACCCTGCCCTCCCCTCCCGACTGTCAGCATGAGGAGGCCAGCCTCCCTGGGCCTTGGTGTCCACGTGGCTCCAACCGAGCAGGGTCAAGGCAAGAGGACCCCGGACAGCCCGGGGCCTGAGCTGCGGACACAGTGGAGACTGCATGTCAGGAGAGCCTGGTGATCGCGGGGCCTAGACAAAACTCCAGCCAGACGCACAGGGCAGACCCCACTGGTCCGTCCACACCGCCCGTCCACACTGTCCTGTGCACACCCTGCTGTCCACACTGCCCATCCACACTGTCCTGTCTACACTATCCTGTCCACACCGCCCGTCCACACTGTCCTGTCCACACCCTGCTGTCCATGCCGCCCGTCCACACTGTTCTGTCCACACCCCATGTCCACACTGCCCATCCACAGTCCTGTCCACACCCGCCCATCCACATCCATCGTCTACGCCACACCTGTGGTTGCAAGGCAGGAGGGTGCCAGCAGAGGGCGCCACCACACCATCCAGCGGAGCCCAGACTGTGGAGGTTCAGGCCACAGGAGCTACCCCCTGGGTCCCCAGCCCATCCCCGCTGGGACTGTGTGGGGTGTGGAGGTGGGATGAGGGGCCGCACCCTGGCTGTGCTGCCCGCACAAGGAGGCCACAGATGTGAGCTCACTGACCACGTGCTGCACGGCCAGGGGCTGTTGTCTCCCACCTGGACAGCGGGACAAGTGCCACCTCACGGGGCTGCGGGGAGCCCCGGCTATCCTGTGTATGTGCCACCCGGTGTGGCCTCGGGGACCAGCCTCTGCCCCTCCCGCAGCAGCTGGGCTCAGGCCTCCACACCGGCCCCGAGGGGAGGGCAGACCTTCCTCCAGTGGGAGAGAGGGGCCAGAACCTAGGGGTCCAGCCCTGCTCTGAGCCCCCCCAGTGCCTGGGGCAGCCTGGCCCTTCTGGGCTCCGGCTCCGCCCCGGCCCAGGGCTCGTGACGAACGCGCCCCAGCCACACCCCCCCAGTTGAGACTCCGCACACCAGGCAACCTCACAAAGCAGCCTCCGCTCCAGCTCGGACCCGGCCCGTCCTGACCTCAACCCACAGCACCAGTCGTGTGGGGCCAGGCCCCCACCCCAGTCTGGCCCGGAAGGGCAGCGGGGATGCGAGCGGTCGCCCGGGGAGTCCGGCAGCGTGAGCCCTCACGAGGTCAGCCCACCGGACCCGGCGTCCCCCCTCCAACCCAGGCCACCCTCCCACACGCACCTGGGAGAAGCGGCCGCAGCCCAAAGGGGCCCTTGGTCGGGGAGATGCCGCGGACGATGCAGTCGAACAGGAAGCTGATCTGCTCTCCCTCGGCTGAGGACAGGAAGAAGACTCCGGCCCCTGCAGGGTGGGGACAGACCCTGCTGTCAGCCGGGCCCAGTGGCCGCCAGGAGGGACGGCGCGGGAGCCTGGAGCAGACCCGCAAGATGGCCACGCGGGGAGGGAGAGCCCCTGTCGGGCCCCGGCCAACCGCGCCCCGTCCTTCAAACCCACATGGCGCGTCCGGGCGGCCCTGGGAACCTCGCTGCATCTGTAAGCCTGGTCCCCACTCTTTCTGCCAGCCTCCACGGGCCAGCAGGGGGAGCTGGGCTGCTTTGGGAGGATGTGGCCGCGGGAGGAAGCCCGTGAGGACGCCCCTGGTCACCGCAGGGGCCGCCTGGGGCAGGGTCCACATCCCAGAACGCAGCCAGGAGACCTCCGCCTCGGCAGGTGCCCCCGTCCCGCTCTCCCGACCCAGGGCTGCTCTGAGGGGGAGGAAGATGCGAGAGCTGGGCCCGCCCCACAATCGAGGTGGCCACCGCCGCTGTGGCCGGTGACACGTCCCCCCACCGCACAGGCCCCCTTCCCGGCCTTGTTCTGGGGCAGGAAACCGGGCCACGGCGTGAGGGCTGGGGCTGAGGTCTTGCCCACGGGGCCCCCGCCAGCAGAGGGCAAGCCGCGTGAGTCAGCACAGCCCGCAGCCTAACCCCGCCAGGGTGAATGAAATCCCTCACCACCCGCCCAGTGAATGGGGACAGCGGGCCACGTGGACACTCGGCTGGTGTCACCGCACAGGAATCCCTCAGCCCCGCCCTCTGCCCGCCGCCCAAAGAAAGGCAGGCGTGCCCGTCCCTTGGCTACAGGCAGACCGGGGTGGGCAGGGGGATGCGTGGGCCGCCGGCCACCATCACGGCCTGCCTTCTCGGGCTCCCAGGGACGCAGGCCAGCCCCGACACGTGGCAGGGCCCCCGTGCCCCTCCGAGGCTGCACCAGGGCTGGGGGGGGGGGGCGTGGGCAGCGCCCTCCAGCTGTGGGCGCTCCATCCGTCCAATGCCCCTGGACCAGGTGACACGCCGGCTTTAACCATGAGGAAACTGAGGCCCAGAGAGGCCGCCGGGCCACAGGGCACGTGCCGGCACCACGGGGCCTCGGGCCGGACGGATGGGCCCCCGAGCTGGGCCTTGCCAGCCGCCGGCTCACGCCCCGCCAGTGGCCGAGGGGCCGGGGAGAGGAAGGCCGGGCCGCCGGCGCACAAAGGGCCGGGCCTCTAATCCCGAGCTTACAGTCAGCTGGCAGAGGTCACGGCACAGCCAGTCCCCCGACTATAAAAAACCACGTTACGAGGGGAGCGGAGCCGGCAGTCTTCCACCAGGCGTCTGCTGAGCGTCACGCTCCCCGAGGCGCGGCCGGTGAGGCCTGGGAGCCCGGCCGCCACCCCCACACACGCCAGCGGGCTGACGCCAGAGGTTCCCTGGGGACGGCACACGTCTCCCGCCCCCGAGGGAGGCGAGGCCTCCGGGACACAGCTCGCGGGGCGCGGACCGCTGGCTGGCGCTCGGGCTCCCCTCCCCCGCCCCAGGCTCTGGGACACCCGGAGCCCCCTGAGGTGGACGGCACACCTCCCTGTCCCTCAACACCCCCGGCCCCCTGTAATGCCACCTCACCTGTCGGGACCCTGCGTACCTAACGTTGCCTTTCCGGACCCCTGACCCCAGATCGCTCACTCGGGGCCGCTTTCGGGGAGCGCCTCCTCTGGGGCGTCCCCTGTGACACCCCCTTATCTGGGTGCTGTCCTGGCCGCCCAGCCTGGTGTCTTACGGGCAGGGACCACTTCCAAGGCACTGGGCCCCAGTGTCCAGCCCAGGGGACCCCCAGCACTGGGGTGGGGATGGAAAGAGGGAAGAAGAGGCAAGCCGACCCCGCTCCCCCGACCCCCGAAAGCGTTGCTCAAGTCTTGTTTGCTTGCCTGTTTGCAGGGCCGGAGGACGTAGGGCCACTCTGCCACCTGGCCACTACGGAGACAACCCCTGCTCCGCCTTCCGTCCCCATCCACAAAGCCCCACCCGAGGGTCCGTGTCCGCGACCATCCTGGGCCTTCCGGCCAGGGCCGCCCACCGAATGCCACTACCCGAGCGATCTGTCTGCCACACGGAGCAGGGACGAGCCACCCCACCCAGACCCTTGACCCACAGGGTCACCAGCAATGAAAGAACCACCGAGTTCTGGGGTGTCCCTTGCTCTGCAATAATCAACACAGGGAGACGGGGAGGAGAGTCTGCTGAGCGGGAGGCCAGCCCTCTGCTGTGGGCAGACACTGCGGGCTCCAGGGGCCACAGGCAGACCTCACAGGCTTGGCAAATGCAATCACCCCCAGCCACGATCCCCAGTGGCATGGGTGTTGCACCCCACGGAAAGGGCCACCAGCTCCAAGGGGAAAAAAACACTCTTTCATCCAAACGTGCCATGTTCCCACTTCTGTGGGCTGATGCCCGTCGGAAGTTAGTCCTCAGATGACCTCCCGTGTCCTGACTCTGCCAGCGGGTCAGCATCCCGGCTCCGCAGAGACAAGGACCACACGGTGAAGTCCCACCGGGGAGAGAGCATTGGAAAGCGTCTGGAGGACTTCTGTGTGGAGATGATTCTAGAAAGCTCTGTCCAGGCAGCACCAGACCTGCCTGGTGTTAGACTTTCACCTGTGAGATACCCATGGCCTGTGGGTTTCCTAACAGAGTCAAACCTCTACTGATTAAAATTTCATTTTTCTCTGCCCTTGTTTTGGGAGGAAGGATCAAAGTTCAACTAAAGGAGTTCACTTGAAATCAAGTTGTAAATTTCACCCGGTCATCTTGCCCACCAGGAAGACTGTGATTAAAAACAAAACAAAGGGGCGCCTGGGTGGCTCAGTCGGTTGAGCGTCCGACTTCGGCTCAGGTCATGATCTCACGGTTCGTGGGTTTAAGCCCCGCGTCGGGCTCTGTGCTGACGGCTCAGAGCCTGGAGCCTGTTTCGGATTCTGTGTCTCCCTCTCTCTCTCTGCCCCTCCCCTGCTCATGCTCTCTCTCTCAAAGATAAACATTTTTTAAAAATTTTAAAAAAACAAACAAAAAAGAAGAAAACAGGCGTTGATGAGGCAGGGTGGGGGAGCCGGAACCCCGTGCACCGCCAGCGGGAACGCACCCGTTTGGTGCAGCCCCTGCAGAAAACGGCGCGTGGGCGCCTCCGAAACTCAAACACAGAACCACCGTCCGGCCCAGCAATCCCACGTCTGGGGGCCCCAGTAGGAGCTGCAAGCAGGATGTGAAAGAGGCACCCGACCCCCACGTGCACAGCGGCATTAGTCGCAAGAGACAAGGCAGGAAGAAACCAGGAGTCCACCGACCGAGGAAAGGACACACACGGCGTGGTCCATCCACACAGTGGGATGTCAGCCTCGAGGAAGGACCCCCTGCCACCTGCCACCGCGGGGATGGGCCTGGAGGACACGATGCTCACGAAGGCACGGATACCGTGTGGTCCCACTGCCCCGAGGAGGAGCCAGGTCATCGAGACAAAGTGGACGGTGGGCGTCAGGGGCCGGGGGAGGGGACACGGGGGTTAGCGCTCACTGGGGCCAGTGTCAGCTGGGGAAGACAAGACTTCTGGGATGGAGGGTGGGGACGGCCGCATGACCCTGAATGTACCTGATGCCTCTGAGCTGTCCGCCTAACTATGGTTAAAATGGTAAATTCTGTGCTATGTATGTTTTGCCCCAGTAAACAAACAGAACAAACCCCTCCTCCAGGAAGCAGGCTCTGTCCTGCCCGTGCCCAGGAGGCCCCCCGCACCCTCTTCACAGCCACCAGTGCAGGACGGAGCCCACACTGCAGGGCACTTAACGTCCTGGCAGCCACTCCCGCTAAGTGCCCGGCACGTGCCCCGATCGCTGTGACAACCCTGCACACGCACATGCACACACACACACGCACACACGTGCACACACCCACGTGCACATGCACATACGCACGCACACGTGCACACGCACACACCCATGTGCACACATGCGCGCACACGCACATACGTGCACACGCACACCCACGTGCACACACGCACATGCACACATGCGCACACACCCACGTGCACACACACACGTGCACTTGTCCCTGGGGCACAACGGCCCGGGCAGGACCCAGCACCACCCTGGGCAGAGTGTAGGGACATTGCCGGGTGAGCCGCGGCACTGGGCTCCGTCCCCGAGTAGGGGTGGCCTGTCTCCCTCGACGCCCAGCTTCCTGCGAGGTCCAGCTGAGGCCGCTCCTCGGCGACCCACCTTCCTCTCGGGCAGCCGGGCCGCCCTGGCCCCACGGCCACACTGGGTACCTGGGCACTCCCAGCTCAGGTAAGAGGCTCCTCAGGGCAGGTCTGGGATCTTCCACTTCTCTGCGTCTCCCCGGGGCCGGCTGAGGGCTCTGTCCATCAGCCCTTTCTCTCAAATGGTGTCCTGAGTGACCCAGCAGCCAGGAGGCCAGAGGCACCCTGCCAGCCTCCAGAGGCAGCCCCCGTGCCCCAGGTCCGGTGTTCAGGGCTGCTGTGGGAGGGCAGCAGAGGGCGTCGGCCGGCGTCCTCCCCATCCCTGCCGTGGGACACGGAGCTGAGCCGTGGGCCGGGAGCCTCGGGTGGAGACGCCAGCCCAGGCCCTGCCCTTTCCACGGAGCCCAGGTCCTCCCAGAGCCACGCCAAGGCTGGGAGACTCAGATTGACTCTCTGCCACCAGGAACACTGTGTCAACGGTGACCTGCTGACCCAGAGCCATCGGAGAAGGCGGGGCTGGTCCCATCGCCCCCGTCTATGCAGGGGGCCGGTCGGGCTTATCACAGGGATCTCCCCCTGAAAGAGCGGGACTCGGGGTCCCCTCTGGGGTGCTGGAGTCTGTGCCCCACCCACAGCCGCCCTGGGGACCGGAAACGTCTCATACCTGTCTCATACGGGCTCTGAGTTCTCCCCGCCTGGCCACGTGCTCCCCAGCCCCAACCCCCACTTGGCTTGGAGAAGCCACCGAACACGTCCCCTCCTCTGCCCACATTCCCGGGCTCAGAGACCAGGGTTTCAGCCAGCTCTGCTGGGACCACCCGGCATTCAGACCACCAGATCCCAGGGAGGCCGAGATGACGTATCAGCTGGACAGCACAGGTGCTTTAAATACACAGCAAGAGAGTTTCTCCCGGTTTAAGCCTTCGTCCTTTACTCGCTTGAAAGTCATTTAAAAATGCTCACTGTGCCCCAAGAGACTGAAGCAGTGAGCTGGACCCAGAGAGCCGGGCAAACGAGCAGAGGAGGGGCAGCACAGACGGAGGCCACTCCCAGGACATGGGCGGGGTGTTCCTGAGGGTCACCGTCCACGACGTGCCTCTGCCACAGGCTCGGGGACCTTTCTGACACCTGCTGAATTCCTCAGCATCCAAGGACCCTGATCCTTTGCAAATGCAGCTGGCTCACGTGGATGTGGAAATGCCATCGAGATGCCCTTGACCGGGGGGGGGGCCGCCAATGCAAGGGACAGAGACCTCCTCTGGGCCCCTCCTGGACACTTCCACCGGCCTTCAGGCCCAGCTCACATGGCCATCCTGGGCTCTGGGCGGCCCCCTTTCTCCCATTCCCTTTCACACCCCTAAGCCCTAAGCACACACCGTGGGCCGTCCCCAGAGACAGAGAGGCCACACTGGGAGACCCTGGACTCCCAGCCAACAAGCCCACTCCCATCTGACTCTGAACAGGCCACTGTCCACGTGCAGGCCACAGAGAGAAAATGCCCACCTGGAAGGTACCCAGAGCCACACGGAGCCCCCACGTACCCGGCCTGATGCCCCCCTTCGCCTACCAGGCCAGGACCCCACCTCCACACCCTCCAGGGTCCTGACCCCACCCCTGACAGTCACACCAAATGTCTCAGCTCTCTGAGAATTTCCTGCTCTCTGGAGAATTGTCTGTGGCCGAGGGCCAAGGGGATGTGGTCCTGGGGGGCGCGGGGGCCGGGCTCGGACTGTACCAGGAGAGGGAGACGATGTGAATTCCTTACACCCCAGACCTCCCAGGTTCCCCAATGATTCCAGCCCAGCTCTCTGTCCTCCAGATTAAATGCGCCCAGGGCCCTGGGCCCGTCAGGATCCAAATTCTAGAGCCTTCGCATCATGGGTTGAATGGTGTCCCCAAAGGCTAGGTTATACCCGAAAATGTGTCACTTGACCTTATTTGAAAAAATGGCCTTTGCAGGCATAACCAAGGGAGGCGAGAAGAGGGCATCCTGGATTGTCGGGTGGCCCTAAATCCGGTGACTCGAGTCCCATGGAGTCGGAAGAGAAGGCCCCGGGCGATGGCCGAGCGACGACAGAGGAGAGACTGGACTCACGTGGCCACAAGCCCAGGGCCTCCTGCGGCCTCCAGGGGCCGGAAGAGGCGGGAGGGAGGCTCCCCGGAGCCTCTGGAGGGAGCCAGCCGGGTCCACACCCTGACTTGGGACAGAACCGTGAGGGAACCGTTTCTGTTGCTCTGAGGCTCCAGTTTGGGATAATTTGGTCCGGCAACCCCAGGACACCGACTCACGCCCCGCCCTGGACCTGAACTACCCTCCCTCCCCCCAGGACGCCCGGGCCTGAGTGGCCTGGTGGTCTGAGCACACGTGCAGGGGTGCGCCGTGCCTCCACCCGCAGCCCTGGATCGAGGACAGCGTAAAGCCCGGCTTACGTAGGGAGAGCCGTGCGAACTCGTCCCTGACAACAGAGCCGCACGGGACCTGTCCCCCCAGGCGTTTGGCCGGCGGCCTCCGCACAGCCGGGGGCAACAGGGAAGCCTGCACGTCTGCGCTCCCGGGTCAGCGTCCCAGAGCGGGGTGGGCGTCCGGCCCGCCCGGGAACAGCATCAGGACGGCCCCAGAAGGGCCCCCACTGCATTGCCGGCAGCCCAGGGAAATCACAGCAGCCTCTGCCCACCAGAGCCAAGGCCTGACGTCCGGCGCTGTTGATCGGCAGGAGGGAGCCCACCCCGCTCTGAGGCCTCGGAGGGAAAACGTCAGTGCGTCCTATCACATGACGGCTGGTCCTCCTGACCGGCCTCCCTGGGGGCACACGCCGGCACCACCCCCGGGCGGCGTGCACCCCGTCCTCAAAGCAGCCCCACATAATGCCCCCTCCTCCAGGGGAGACCCAGCGCACCGTGGCCCCCGGCTCTGACCACCCACACAGCTGGGTGAGGGTCCCCTGCCCCCCGCCCCGCTCTAGACCCCAGAGCGCTGGGACCTCCACTGTGCCAGAACCAGGGGCCCCAAGGGCGCATCCAGCAGGGGGCAACAGCAGGCATCTCACCTGTCCCCGATGCCGGCCCAGAGGAGGCTCCCCGGCAGCTGGGCCCACCCCGGGGCTCCAGGGGCCACCGCCCAAACTGCCCCAGCCCGTGGACCCACCACAGCCAGCGACAGACGCCCTGCTGCCCCGAGCGAGGGCTCCGGCCTCACCTGCTCGTTGGTCTTTGAGGCTGACGACTTTTCTCCTGGACACAGGGCCCCGCAGGCTGCCTGCCACACAGGGCCGGCCCCTACCTCGAGACCCGCTGGGACATGGCCCCAGCCGGCCAGGTCCCCCCTGCCCGCCCTTTGCAGAGCGAGGGCCCAGCCGGCCAGCACGCGCACGGCCCCAAGCACAGCCCCTCTACCGGGGGGATCCCGGCAGGACCCAGGTCCCAGAGCCCGGTGGATGCCACCCAAACCTGGCCGAACGCGTGTGACAGACCCTGCTGTGAGCCCTTGCGGTCGTCACCCTCACGTGAGCCTGTGGGGTGGGGGACTGGTGCCCCTCTGTGGAGCACGCAAGGGAGCGGGCCCCAATCGCCGTCGGGGGGGGTCCCAGGCTGAACGGAGATGGGGGCGCACAGCTACCCCCCCCAGCACACCCGGTGGCCCTCGGGGCTCTGAGGGGGGCGCATCTGTAACATTGGGATAGCTTTTCACCTGCCCCTGCCCCACCCCCGGGCACGGTGTGTCCACGGGGCATCCTTGGTCCACATGTGTCCCGGCATACCCCCCCCCACACACACACATTCATTCTTCCCCCCTTTTTTTGTTTCTCACTCAGTCCGAACACTGTGACTTCAGGCACAAGGCCATGCGTCGTGACAGGCAGGCCTGGCTGCAGGGGTGCGGGTGGGCTGCAGCCGGAGGGTCCGTCCTCCCTCCTCGGCGGCCTCAGCGCTGAGCACTGGGCTGTGAGACGCCTGGCCTCGCCCACCACTTTTCCAAGACGCCAGCCAAGCGAGCACACGGGTGGGGCGGGCGGCTCCAGGCCGAGGGTTTTGGGGTGAAGCCGAACCCCGAGCGGCCCCGCATACTTACAGTACCCACACCTGGTCCCGCCTTCGAAGATGAATCCACCGGGCACGGCCCCGTAGCGCCGGAGGTCAGACAGCTTCCACTGCCCCGCGACAGCCGGAGGGATGTCCCTGGCCACGACGAGGACGTCGTTGCAGAGGTGAAGGGTGGCGGGGCCGCTCTCCAGCTTGGTGCCTGGAGCCACCGTCACGTGGAACCTGTGCACTGAGGGCAGGGCAGGGGTGGGGGGGCATCACTGGAAGCGGAGGCCGGGCAGAGGGGGGGCAGCTCCCAGGCGTCCGTCCTGACGGCGGGATGCCCTCAGCTCCCGGCCCGGGCACCCGTCACCACCTCTGTTTGGAGGCAGGCAGGCCCTCGGGGGGGCCGCCCTGCC